GCATTAACAATTTCAAACCCAGCCCCCGGGTATGAGTCATTCCCACGCACGGGCCTATGAAATTTTTTTCGGGTAAGCTGCTAAGTCGGGAAATTGAGAAGCTAGAAGACTGGAATTTTGAAGGGATGCTTCTTGACGGTCCTAGCGGCCAGTCTGAAATTCTTTTAGCTAGAAGCACCTGTTGGAAAAAACAGTACCATTAGCGACAAAAATCTGCGGGTAACTATGCAAAAAACGCATCATCGCATGGGAAGCCCGTGCTTTAGCCAGATATTCTTTATTGCGAAAAAATGAAGCAAACATCTTGCGCCAACACTCGGTGGCATCCTAAACTGAAATAAATAGCGGCGCACACCAGGGCAGTCGGTGGGATCATGCGTTTTGTGCAATTCTGTCCACCAAACGATTGCCTGCTAATGATTTTCATTGTCCGGGTTGCACGTATATTTTCCGGTTTACACGTATATAGGGGAATACTCATAAAATTTCAGCTTTCTGGCTTCCGTGTTTCCCGAGATAATAATTTTCTCCACCAAAATTTTTACGGAGCGATACGTGTTACCCGCGGGCACGAGAAGGTTGAATTTAAGTCTTCTGGGTCGCACTTGGGCAGGGGACATACCCAAAAAATTTCAGTTCCCTAGCTTCCGTGATTCCTGAGATAATTCTCTTTGCCAAAACTTTTGCGGGACCATACGTGTTACCTGCGGGCACGGGAAGGCTGAATTTAAATTTTTACGGGGTCACACGTGGGCGGCGAACATTCCTCCAAATTTTCAGCCTCCTAGCTTTTGTGGTTCCGGAGTTGGACGTTGCGGACAAGATGCACCGGCCACACGCACATACACATACAAGCGGACAACCTGCGACAATATGCATTTTGTACACAGCAAAAAACGCATAAAAGCAAGTACCATTGCAACATGGGATGTCCTTCGGATCTTTTCAACCACAGCGTCAAAAGACCGCCAACTTTCGCCTAGCATGCGCTGCAAAAACAAAGCGAGTTAACAAAAGTACGCTATCTATTATCCACTGTTTTTTGTGCAAAAATCCGCCGTTGCTTGTTCGAAATTTGTTGTTATTTGTTCACTGATCGTTGCCGAAACCTGCTTTTAATCACCAAAAACTTTTTTTTTTTCAAAAGCTACTCTGCCCCCTGCCAAAAAATTGCTGTTCATGACTTATCTGAGCTTCATCCAGAACTCGAAATCGTTTATACAAATAAGCTCCCCGTTACTTGAATGAGCCTTCGCTGCCTCTTGCTCAAAAATTTTCGTCACGAAGTACCTCACTGCATTTGGGAACAA